AAAGTAGGAGTGGTGTTATAAAATAAAGCACGTTTCAATATTTGCTAAAACTATACGAAAAAGCAGGAGCCGGGAAAAAAAGAAGAACGTCGGAACCACTAATGGCTCTTTTCTAAGATTTTCTCTCCTTTTCTATTCGAGGGTAGTGGGAGTCTTTCTTAATACATACACATAACTGGTACGCTTTGATTGGCTTAAAATCATTCCTAACACATCCTAACTACAATACGCATGCATAAACGCAGAATAACGCAACACATATAGATACATAATTCACGCTGAAATGAGAAATTCTGAACTTTTTATATACTAAATAGACAGATTTTTCTGCACTCTGGAGAAACTTAATATTACATTGTTAAATATTTAAAAATAAAAATAATTATTTATTAAGAAATAATAAAATATTTTATTACCTTTCAAAGAACAATTTTTATCATAAAATCATTTAATTTAATTATAGAAGCAAACTTATAACAAATATTCTATAATTATATTTAGATAAAGAAATATAGAATAATTTAAAACAATTATTTATCAAAACTTTTTCAGAAATAAAAATTATATAAAAATTATGAGCAAACAAATGAAATATTTTATTATTAAATATTAATTAAAATTACTTTTAATTCATACTGCAGTATTAAAAATTATTTTAAAATCAGGATGTCCAGCAAGGCTTAAAAAAAAAAATTCCCTGACTTTTCTCTGACATTTTTTTTTCGTGACTACTCGTTAGTGATCGGTCAAACCCGATCGGACTCACTCGCTTAACTTCGTCAAACTTCGGTGATTTTTGATATTTTTCTATCATTTTTTGTAAGAAAAAGTTTCTATTAGTATTATATGTAAATATGAGGATTTAACACCAATCCACTTTCTTATCAACTATATCAAAATGTAAAATGATTATACCTCTTAACGGAATTCTGAATACAGAAAATGAAATATTTTATTCCAATACTTATTACAGGGCGTATTAGAATTTAACATTTGGAGTTTTCATAATATAATTATGAATTTCGCAAAAACTATTCTAATTTTTGTTTCTAAATATATTAAACTTTATTATTTTTATTTTAGGCATTCTTAAAAAATAGTAATGAAATCTATAAACACCTCAAAATCTGCAAAATCTTCCGCAATTGTAACTTAATATACTAAATATAAGTGTCAAAATATTAAATATTCTAACAAGATTTCTTTCCGTGTACCTATATAAATATTTATCAAAGTACACATATATGTATATAAATATGTATATAAAAGCATATATACATGTATATAATGTAACCTGACGCGTAAGGGGGTATTTTCTTGAAAAAGGACATGTTTTTGTAAATTCGCTTTTTCTCAAAACGACGTTTTTTGACTTTTTTTACAACAATTTAAGTTGAAAAAACAAGGTCAATAATAAAAAGTCCGACATTTTGTTTTTTTTTCATCGAAATTGTTGATTATATTTCCGACGATAGCGACGAGCTTACTTTTTAAGAAAATATCAAAAAATTTTATTTTTCGATAACCTGAATTGGAGATATTGTATCCGACAATCACAAGTAGGGGTATTTTCAGGCGGCCATGACAGCAAGATAATCCTTAATAAATAAGAAATAAATTTTTTTTAATAGTTTAAAACCCCTTCTTTTAGGTATAAAAAGTTTGAAGTAAATAAAATATATTTTGTAATAAATAAAAAATGTTTAAGAAAAGTCACTGAGATGTGGTACTAACCCCATAAGCTGAAGAAAAAGTTGTTTTAAAGTATTGCGATAACCATTAGAGATGTGTTAGATATTAGATATTGAAATTAATCTTATAGATTAAAGTTTAATTTATATTCAAATATATTATTTTAAATAGATACATATAGTTCCCAGAAAATGTAAATTATAATACGTATTCTTAAGCAACTTGTAAAAAGCGAATAAAATTGGTTTCTTATAACTTCAAGTAGGTATTTAAAGAGCATTAGACTAGCAAACTGTCAGATATATTACGAGAAGTTATTCACTAAATATTTAGCAAGTATTAAGAAAAGCTTCCTGTTAAGAAGCCAGCAAACATATATATTTAAGGTCTTAGGTCTAATATACAAAAAGTTATCATGAAGCATTTAAAACCTTAATAACAATCGCCTGAAGGCCGTATTACCGCACCAGGGAATTTCTGCTTTTCGACTGAGTGTGCATAATAATATTTTTAAATTAAGGGGAGAAATAGGTGTAGGACGGAATTTTTGCAGTGTTTTTAATGAATTTTTTTAACACATAAAGAATTTATATAATTTATTGCTATTATGAGGTTACTTTATACACATATTTAAGAGTATATATTCTGATAATTTCCAAACACTTTCCCCAAAAATTAATAATAATATCTGCTGCCGCACCGTTCCCGGTCATTTTTCCGAAATAAATTTTCTGAAAGAAAAATTTTTGAATCTAAATTTACGAAATAATTTTTCCGAAAATTAATAATTACAAAAATCCAAGTTATTTTATTATAAAACAATAGTATAAGCTAAAGTCTGCAGGTACTTCAAAACTTTGTTTTCCCTCTCGTACTTTTCATATTAGAGATACTTATATTATATTATTATAATATTAAGATACTTACACTACCGTTGGAAATTGTCGGTACGGCTGACGTGCGAGGTGTGGAAATTCGGTGCGGACAATCTTTAAGTTCTTAGCTTTAATTTGCTTTTTTGAAACTCAAAAAATGTTTTGTAGACCCTGAAATATGTTAAAAAATGTTCAAGCATGTTTTTCTACAAGCCAGCAGCGAGGTGGCAAAAAGTGATGATCGACGGCCGAGTTGTAGAAAAACATGCTCGGACCTTTTTTAACATATTTCAGGAACCACAAAACATTTTTTAAGTTTCAAAAATGCAAATTAAAGCTGAGATCTTGAAGATTATGTTGTCAAATTGTCAAATTTTTCCATACATTATTCTAGATTATGCCGCAAGTCAAAAACATTAGTACGAAAATTGCATAATTTTTACTTGAAATCTTTTCGGTGTTGTAAATAAAAAAAAAGAAAAAAATATTCTTGATATACATTCAGAAGCAGAATTTTATCAGATTTCCAACCATCTAAGTTAGAAATCTCTAACTTTTTTCTAACTTAAAATATCTTGCTTTAAAGTCCGCACCGAATTTCGACTCCTCGCACATCAGCCGTACCGACAATTTCCGACGGTAGTGTATATCTTTCACATTCCCAATATGCTTTTTGATTTGTAGGAATTGGAATTTTAGTCTTTACTCATCTATTGTCATATCAATTTATATAATTATCTGTCTACTTTTATTTACACTCTTGCATTCAATTACAATTTTTTATAGAATTTTGCCAACATTTAATAATGATTACAGAACAGCAAGAACAACTTCGAGAGCTGGAGGAATTTAATGCAATTTTAAATGAAAAATCGAATATTAAAACTACAACGAACATTAAAGAAAGTACTTTAGATGATGCAACCTTGTCTCAAATTCTTGATTGCATCGATCAATATTGCCCAACAAATAATAATCCAGAGTCGATAACCAGTAATAGAGTATCAAGTTTGACAGCGGGTGGGACAGATGAAACAATTGGAAATTTACAGATTTATAGTACTGAATTTTTGAAGAATAATAACAATTTTCTTTATGGTGATTTTAATAATAATTTAAATAATGTAATTAAAATTCAAATTGATCAACCAAACTTAAGTTTCGTTAATATGATCAATGATTATGTTCCTGCTGATAGGACAAATTGTATCGATAATCTTTTACTAAGGTCTACACAATCAATATTTAAGAATTTTGTAATTATTGGAAATCAAGTTCAATTTCTGAAAAGTGATTTTGTCTTCTGCTATTATCGCAGTAAAAGTAAAGAACACAACCTGCATGATGCCTTCTATGACGTCAATAAAAGCAAGAATGGTGACCCAAATAAACGATGCTTGAGTAAGGGCAATGTCCAGTGTAAAGAATTTCAAAAATCTTTTTACAAAAATTTTAATATATTTTTTAAACAATTACCTCGTACATTCCGCATCACAGATCAACAATTACATTTGTTTGATTGTAATGGTAATGGATTAGCAGTTTATGCAATACCAATAGATACAGATCAAGTGACAAATTTAGAACATAAACTACCAGTCACAAGTGAGTCTATTGTACAATTATTACAGAATCAGTATTTAATAGAAACAAAAATCAATTCTTGTGACGTTGTGAGTAGTGGACCATTTTGCGATTTAGAAGATGGCAATCTACCAAAGGAAATGCTTATTTTTATTATCACCATGACGACAAGTCAAATTTTTCTCTCCCTACCTAATAATGAAAACATACTCGATGAACATGAATTAAAAATTCAATTAGATAGACAACAGTGCATAATTATTGAAACGGGAACGGAATACCAAGTACGTTTATCTGGTCAGGATTTTAACAGTTGTACTTACTTTATAGCGTTTTCACGCCATCTGATTAATCAGGAATATATATTTATACATAAGGAAATCCATCTATTATACAATTTACATCCCCATGTTGTACCAATTTTGTTGATGCAACAATATCAGAGTAATTATATTTTACCATTACTTTGTCCACTTCAATTTAAATTTAACCAATTGTTGTATTTAATTAATATTTTTCATTTAGTTTATCACAATAAAATTACTGAAACGTTTTGTAAGCTAACAACAGCACTACAAATAGCGCCTCTATTTCGCGATTATGCTGCTAGTCAAAAAATAGTTATGTTACATAACATCAATTCGAATTTTGGTAAAAACGCAAGGAAAACTTTGAGTTCAGTAGTATTTTATAAATAAAACTTTATTTAGTCAAACAAAATTTATTTGTTTATTGGCTAATGATGTTTTCGAAATAAACAAGGGATCATATTGTCAGGAAATACTTCACCGTAAAGGAAACATTTCGAGTTTCAATTATAATTTAAATTAAAGATTGTTAACTACTTACTTAATGGCATCGCAATTCCATATCCTTTGCTGTCAAGTAATCCACCAACTTGTGTCAAACCACAATATTTTTGAACAGTGTACTCAATAGTAGTGGACTCCATAAGAAATGCATATCCACGTTTCCCCGTTCGTACTCTTTCTACGCCGTCATGATTAGTAGATGTGAAGACAGATGGTTTTGCATCACTCATTGCAGTCCACATACGTTGATACGTTGAATGATTTGAATGCTAAAATTTATAAAAAATAATAAGAAATCAAATATTTGTCTTCCTTATTTAAAAATTATTTTTGATAATTTTTAATAAATCTTAAAAACATTAATTATTACAAGCATTCACATGATGATTAAACTTCTAATCGATCAAAAAAATTCTATCTACTTCTAAGTATTTATTTATTGAGACCCAACGGTCTATTTACACACAAAAATAAAGCATACAAATAAAAAAGATACAATAATAAAAATTAAAATAGTCTGTCTACATCGAAACGGACTTTTTTATAATTGCAGTCCTGGAGGCAGAAAGAACTTTCTTCCAAAACGACTCATGTCAATCTCTAGACCGATGGTCTGGATAATCGGGTATCGTCGAATTGGGGCCAATTCGACAAAAAGTGATGAAGATCATAACTGTCAGCATTACAAAAAAACTGTTATCTAGAGACCTCAGATTAAAGAACATTTTGTCTATTTTAATATAATTATCGTGCATACTAGAGAGACGTGCTTGAGCAAAAATTTTTCTTATATTAAGCTCCATTGTGCAGAACAAGTAACCCTAAGTTTCAGGTCTAAATTCAATAAAAGGTCATATTTCGAGACTCCTTAAATTCTTTCTGGAACTCAAGTCACGAGTCATCAAGAATTTCGCGTAATCCTTCAAAATAAGGTCTGTATTAGCCACAATCAGTTCCGGGTCATTAAGTCTGAGGCGATCGAGTAACCTCGGATTGACTGAGGGAGAAAAAGCAACCGTTTAAAAAATTCAAGCTAAGTTTTTTCGAGTAGATCTAGATGTTGATGTCCTTAAATTTGGACCACGTATAAAAATATACTAATTACACTGTGCTAGAAAAAAGTACTTTTTTAGAAGGTCAAATTTTTTAAACAATCGACATTTTGTTTTTTTGGCCCATTATCAAAATATAACATTTTTCTTAATTAAAAAGAATAAAATTGACTTGGAACTCGTTGGAGGTTTTTGGGGTCGCTGATAAAGAAGTGGCAAATCCAATATGGCGCTCATGGAGCGTACTCTTCTCTAGTACAATGTATGCTTTTATAAATATGTACCTATATAAATATATATCAAAGTACATATATATACGGAGAGAAATCTGCTGCGATTTGCGCATGAGCAAGTCCTTAGGAATATAGCATGGACACTATCAAACAAAAAACTATAACAGTCCATCTGAATATCAGGCGAGACTCATGCAATTATAGCTTGCTCACTTAGGATTTTTGCTCGAAAGCGTCTGTTGCTATATTCCTAAGGACATGCTAATGAGTAAATCGCACCAGATTTCTCTCCGTGTATGTATATATAAATATGTATATAGAAGCATATATTGTTCCCAGCGAGAAACGAAATTTTTTCCCGACGTCTATGTGACGTCTAAGACGTTGAGAACAGGTCTAGGTCTAAATTTGAACTAGATTAATTAGAAATAGATTGGATATCCTGACGATATGCAAACCGCCTGATATCCTCAAGACGTCCCAAGGATATCCTGAAATATATGGTGCTGTGAGGGACTAAGACAATCATTAATTCATGGGTATTTTAAGGTTTTTGAATTTACTGAATCCAAACCTACAGACAAAATCAAAAAAATTTAAAATGGCGGCTTTATAATACAGACAATACTGATAGTGTCATATTGTCTCTGCACTGAGGATTTACCGACGTATGTGCGATATAGCGCCTATATTCTTTCCTTCAACACAATACGCCAAAAGAATAATCTATTTGCCTTATAATTAAGACCTTATGTAGATCTTGGTCTAGACGTTAAATAGACGTCGATAAGACCTTTTATTTCTTGCTAGGTTACATCCCGGTAACAAAAAAAATTCTTTAAAGAATGGATCTTGAACAAATTTAATTATCTCTCTTAAATAAAGGTCATTGTATATACTATTAACGATGTTAATAGTGAATGATAGATGTAATATAATCTCGCATCAATTTATTTCAACGTATTCGAGAAAAAAAATTCCTAAAATTTACTCATTTTTTGACTTTCTAAAGTCGGCGCCTCCCTTACAATTAGATCTCTTTTCGGCCTTAAAATAAGTCTTTCTTTTACAGTCTATTCATATTATGTAATTATTACTTTCATTGAAACGTCCACTACACTTAAAGTTAATTGAACTGCTTATTTTAATACAAAATCTTCAATATATTAAACATAGGTACCAGGGTGCCTCGTCCGCCTATAGAAGGTGTTAAAAACCGTAATGCAAATTCTAAAAAGCCAGGGATTAATGTCTGTCTTATATCTTGACTATATGTTGATTATAGGCAGGACTAAAGAACAATGTCAATTAAATACCTCACGAACTATAAAATTATTAGAATCTTTGGGTTTTATTTTAAACAGAGAAAAAAAAATTCTTAGGTTATATTTATAACACTAAAGAATTTATAGTTCAATTACCTCACGAAAAACAGGAAAAAATCTTAAATCTTGTAAATTATTTTCAATATGAAAACAATTGTAAAATCAGGGATTTTGCACAATTTATGGGATATTTAGTTTCTTCCTGTTCTAGAGTAAAGTACGGTTGGGTGTGTATTAAATCTCTAGAGAAAGAAAAATATCTAGCATTAATGAAAAATAATAAAGATTATGATCAAAAGATGCAAATATCCAACGAAATATAGGCAGATCTAAATCGCGTATTTTAACGAAGAAAAATCCTATCAGAAATTTAAATTATAAATTTAAAATCTGTTTAAACGACTCTTTAACGGGATGGGGTGCTTGTTGCGACGATCAAAAAACACATGGATGGTGGGATCTAAAAGATAAAAAAAATCAATAAATTTACTAGAATTAAAAGGAATATTGAAAACACTAAGATGTTTTGTTTACCAACATTCATGTCAAATTCTTTTAAGAGTCGACAATAAGACAGCCATGTCATACATAAATCGTATGGAAAGGGTAAAATATCCAAAATTAAATTATGTAGCAAAACAAATATGGAAATTTTTGTGAAAAAAGAGATTTGTTGATATTTGTTACAATTTATACATGGGATCCTCAAGATGTTTTGGAATTTCTGCAGAGTCTTCATTCAAGTCAAGAATTATCATTGCAAAATTTAACACTAAAACTTATAATGTCGATAGCCCTAGTTACTTCTCAAAGAATACAGACTTTAAGTAAAATAATGGTAAAAAATATAATTACTTCTCCAGACAATATTCAAATTTTAATTCCAGGCAGATTAAAGACATCAAAATTAATAAAAGACAGCCTTGTCTGATTTTTTCCTTACTTTCGAGAAGATCCAAAGATTTGTGTAGCTTTGACATTAAAAGAATATATCAATAAAACTAAAGACTTGCGAAATTCCGTGGAGGACCTTGTCATCTAATATAAACGACCTCATAAAGCAGCCTCAACACAGACCATAGCATAGTTGATAAAAATCACCTTGGATAAAAGTGGCATAGATACGTCTGTATTTAAAGGGCAAGATCTTTATTGCAAAATTCAAGTAAAGCTTAAAAATATTAAAATTATTATTTCATCTTGTAATCTGGTATAAATAAACAAAATTCTTTGTTTTGCAAAATAAAAAATATATTCAAAAATACAAACCGCAATAATGTCTTTAAACACCTACAATTTGATCTAGAAGAACGAGACGACTAATATAATTACAATTGAACATCACTTATGGTAAGTTCGTTTAATCGATTACTTTTTAAGTAGATTAAAAATAAATTAACTACATCTACAAAATTTTGAACTAATTTTAGCCAACTTGATATCATTTATTTTCTTACACGATACAAAAAAAATTGCAATATCAGTAACTAATGTTGCGTATATAAGAATAAGAAATGATAGAAAATTCGGATAATCAAATGTTTACATCTGCGGTGTTCTAGGAAAAATACTATCTTATTATTTTTGTTGACAGTACGGATTTAAAATTACAATATTGATTATCCAACTTTTATTCTCAAAAATTATAATAATGTTTTATTGTTGTTATTATTATTTTTTACATTTAATAAGTATAAAAAAATTGTACTAGTAATTTCAACTGATCTGCACATCGTAATGAAGCAAATTTTCATTATAATGCATAAAAAAACAATAAATTCATAAAAAATTATGCTGGAGGATCGGTTACGATTTTATATCTTTGAAAATTTGTTTATTTAGGGTACAGAGATTCAAAACATTTAAGAATTTTTTTCGGCATCGGGGACCAACTTTTTCATTGTTAAAGACAGGTGTGCGGTAGGCGACTCCAGGCATATTGCAGGTCGAAGAGGAACACCAATTGCTAGCTAGCTCTTTTATGATAAATTCGTTTTAAAGTCTTTTGAAACACTGGAAATCTACGACGTACGCCAAGGTATCAATAGCAGATGAATGACTCTTCACTAGATTCAAATTCAAGTTTCACATCCACAGTAGCTTGTTTAAGACATCCCTTTTGCTTGGAGTAATCTGTGACAGCTAATGGTGCATAATCATTAAATTCATTCCTGGACAGTAAAGGATCAGCATCTTTACCATAGTATCATGACTGAAAATTACAATACATCTTATAGAGAATTGAAAATTGATTTTGATAACTCGTAGACCAAGCTGCTTTAGGAAACGTATGTTGTGAGGTGTTAAAGTATAGATACATATATAGAATTATGATTTAAGATACATAGATTTGGAATAAACATATCGACGCCTCCCGTTCATATAATGCTTATTGAAACTGCAATGCAATATAAGTCTTATTCAAATTTTCGTGCAATATTAGTCTGATATATAAGATACACAGAATTAAGATATTCAGATATAAGACAGACAGATTTGAGATACACAGATTTAAGATATACAGGTATAAGATACACAGATTTCAGATACAAAAATATCATCCTATTATATAAAATCTGACCGCTCCCCCTTCGGGGTAGCGGACACAATCTCGTCCGCGTTTCGCGCGGGGGGGCTTGCAGGTTTGAACACGCCTTGG